TCTCTCATCTAAACTACCAAATACAGAAACTATAAGAAAACAGCCCTTGCATTTTCCTTTTCTGCCAAGTCCAATGGAGATCATACCAAGTCGTATATCTCCACTAAAGCTGCAGCAGCAGCTGACCCTGCCTTTGTCCCTCTGGTCTTGACTGTATGTTCGGCCACATTGACCTTTATTACCTAATGCTGCCGAGTAGGGCTTTCCTCAGAGTTTTTCTGTGTGTCCATACATGGATTTTCATTTTATGCGTTTCTCAGTGAATGGTTTCCTCTAGGAGGTGTAGAAGGTAATCCATCTTCTTCCTGAGAAAGTTCCTCACATCCCGGGACCAGCTGCTGGCCTGGGTGTGGAACATGTTTGTGGGTTACCTCAGGCCTGTGAGTTTCTGTCAGGAAAGGTTGGAAAATGGCCATCTGTGAGTGAGGGAAAGGGTGAGGTCATGGACTCAGTGGGGAGGAGGCAGGAGATGTGAATGTATATATGCCACTTACTGAAATGTTAAAAATCATCACCAGTGAAAGCTGTTCCATTCTGAGGTGGTGAAAAAGAAGTGCTTTTTATGCAGAAACACACTTCTTCCTGCTTGGAAGACATTAGCAACTCTGTCAAAAGGCTCCTCAGAAGCTCTCAACTTCCCCTTATTATTTTGCCTGTTAAGCGCTACCAGCAAACTCCTGGGGGGTCTGTGAGACAGGCCACTCAGCAGGCTCCTGGCTCCTTCGTTAGCTGTGAGGAAAGCCAGCACACGGAGGCCTTCTGGAGTGCTGTGTCCCCAGGGTGCCTCAGAGCCTCTCAACCTTCCTCTTGGAGGCGTGAAGATGGCAACGCTGCCATCTTCCCTGACAGCACAGCCTCGGCTGCAGTAGACAGCAGCCTCAGCCCCCAGAGAAACACTTTTACAAAACGTGTTTACCTCATATGAGGAAATATTACTGGGGGAAGAAAAAAAAACCATGAAAACCTTCTTGGTCTACATGTAGAAGTTAGAACCATCTTTGAAAAGTTGTAGCAAAGATCGGGTATTTTTTCCATTTCTGTGCTTGTTCAAGGGAGATGGTGAAGGAGTCTGTAGTGGAAGAGAATTCTAGCATTTACTTGTAGGAGTTTGCTGCCAAGTCCAATGGAGGTGGTATCAGGAGATCTTTCCACTCAGCATATCGCTCAGAACCAAGGAGGTAACCAAGGAGGAGCTGGATCTAGCTTTGGGTGTGCATTGGTTCTTCAGAGACCAAAAGGACAATGAGAACTAGACTGAGTTTTCTGTTTTGTAATAGATGAGAGGAATTAAAATCTTCAAAGATGTTACAATATATGTCAGAGCCATCCTATCCTGCAATAGGGGACTTTGACTTTTATATCCAATGGCCTATGAAACTGAGCCTTGGAATTGTCATCCTAACATCTGTCTTCACTCAACCGAAAAACTTGGGGAAACAGTCAAATGCAAAGAGTCTTTAAAACATCTTTTTCTTTTTTAAAAAGCACATAGTCCCATGATACAGGAGGTGTGAGGGTCTCAGTGTGTGGGTGCTAAGTTTAGAGAGCTATGTAATAATCCTAAAGAGGGGCAGTGACCTATTGATTGGTGATACATTTTCAAAACAAAAATAAACCCAAACCTGTGCAGAATGTTATCAAAGCCTTAGGAATGACAGAGCATACATATTTTATCAGCCATCCCCTTTGGACTAGTTAACATATTGAGGAATGTCTCTCCTTTCATCTTAGCATTTGTTGTTAGCCCTCGCTCATGAAAATAATATTCTTGAAGCATCCTGCCCTGGGTTAGTTGATCAGTGAGGCCCCACACGTGACATAACTTCTTTTGGCCGGTGCCTTTTCCAGATCTGGGTTGTTACTCAGACCTCCCCAAATAGTGTTAAAAATGTGACACAGCACTGTCACTGTGATCCTTTGTCTCCCTGATTAGTGTGTTGCTTGGTGGGGGTACTGAAACTGTGTGTCTGTGGCCAAAACAGCAAACAAATCAACTAACACTCCGGTCTTTCGCAGGATTATGAATTTGGCCTGAACCAAGGACACTGAAGACACCTGAAGAGTAAGTTAACTGGCCCTTTGTGGTCTGTCTTGTGCATTCTGCTAACTGCTGTCCCCAAGGGGCACTAGCCACCTAAGGTTTTTCCACATGATTTTTACCCTAAACAATGACAGGTTTGTTTTAATTGTTGAATCAGTTTTTAAAAGGCACAAAGGGTCTCTTACGTCAAGATGGGCCCTGAAAACATTAATGGTATTTTTATGCATGGGGCATGTGGTAGCTCCCAGGAGCTTCTGGGTCTATTCAGTACTACAGACCCCACAGCTTGTCCGACAGCTCACACTAGGGAGCTGCTCTTCCCTTTCCATCCCTAGGAGTTTTTGCACCCATACACACAAACCCACATCTGAGCGTTTCTCCTACATAGGAGGAAAAGAACGCCTCTTCGAACGTGAAGCATGAATATAAAAGGACTTGCCCAGGACAGTGATCACTGAATCAGGGGGAATAAGACGAGAAGGCGAATTTGCAATTCATCACATTATCCCCTGTTGTCTCAAATGCGGTTCCTTTAAAGGCAGGCTGCATCTATACTCTGTTTTTTGGGAAGCATTTTTGTTTTCTTCTTGTAACACACTGTATGTATCCGAATAAGGATAAAAGGATAAAAATTACAATAGATTAATTGCATCCCTTGAATCACATTATATTTTTGGTGCATTAAAAAAGGAAAAAAAGTAAAAGCAACCAGCATAATAAATCCGGCCTGTAGAACTGTGTTAGTGACTGAAGGGTTAACACAGATTTTAGAAGTAGTTAAAAATAGTATTAGAGGATTATACATACAACAGTTTGAAATTCAAATGCATCGTATTGTTTAAAAATGGCAAAATGTTTGGCAAATGTAAGCAAATGACGTGGACTACGTTGGGTCTCCCCGGCTCTGAGCAGAGTCAGTCATTGCCAGGTGAGGCCTACTGCTTCCTGAGGTCACTCTGTGGGCAGGGGGGGAGCTGGACGCCCACCACTGGGAGGTGCTGCCCCCCACCCGGCTCCCCCTCGGGCCCTCAGTCTTGAACGTGGACATGGAGCTGGTGAGAGGTGCAGATTACAGAACCCAGCACGGATCACCCATTAGCATCGCTGAGAGAACTCTGGGGCCTTGAACCACATGCAGACGGGGTGAGTCGTCTACACAGTGACCCATATTGCAAAAGTTAGAGGAACAGGGCTTCCACCCCTCCGACTGGCACACCTCCCCGCTCCCACGGGGAGGGAGGGTGGCGCAGGGTGTGTCACTAGTGCTTAATCTGGCAATGTTCTCAACTTGGGTTTGTATTTTTAGTAGACTGTTTTAAGTGGTTTGTATGTGTGTGTACATCCAGCAACGTCCGTCCGCCAAGCCGGCCACCTCCGTTCCCTGAATGTGGCAGTGCCTGTTGTCTGTAGCTGTTGGCATCCTGAAAGCCATGAGGTGCCTTCCAAGTAGACTCGGCCCCAGCAGCGAGCATGTCCTCCAGGACCCCGCTGCCCGTCAAACACGTGCTCCCCTTCTCTCCTGATTCTGAATCCTGTCTGGCTCTGACTTTGAGAAAAAGGACAGAGGTGGTGTGTATGTGTGTGCACGTCTGCGTCTCTGTGGGTGTTGAATTTTTTTTTTTTTTTTGAAAACTTTATTTTTTTATTTTTTTTTTTAAGAAAGAGGACCCTTTGAGGACTTAAGACAGACTTCAGCCCTCCTTTCGTCACTATAAAACGGACTCCATGTTTTCACACCACTCATGGTCTTCCAGGTTATAGATAAATTTTGTCCTATGTGTCTGGTGTGCGGGCACCGGGTCCCTCCCCAGATTGTCTAGGGTCAGAGTAGAGGCAAAGAACTCACTGGTGCTGAGCCCGCCCTCGTGGTTTTTGATGTAGCGTTTATAGTTTTTCCTCAGGCACTGCCACGTGGTGGTGTAGAGGAGGAAGGCGAAGGACTTGAGCGCGATGGCGATGCTGACGTACAGGTAGCGGTAGACCACGTTGTCGTAGAGGGCGCAGGCACCTTGCTCCCCGCAGAACGTGCTCCAGAACAGGCAGGTGGAGTCGATGCCGGCCCCAAAGATGAGGGGTGGGGGGATGAAGCCTGGGAGAGAGAGAGGAGGAGGTTAGGGCGCTGGCTCTGCGGCTGGTGGGATGTTGGGATCAGTCTGTGACTGTCTCTCACTGTTCTTTGTGCTGGAGGACTTGTGTGCCTGCAGAGAGGGAGGGGAAGGGACCGCCAGTGGGGAATCGTCACATAGTAATCCCGTCTCGCCCTCCTTTCAGGATCTTAGAGATGCACACACTAGCCCACCATGCCACTCAAGGTCCAGCTGATGTGGGATTCAGCCAGGTTACCCGCCACCTTGTAAGGTGTGCACACCATTATAGAGACACTTCAACAAGACTGCCCAGGAGCTGCACTGAGTGAGTTTGAATCGGCTCTTGCCCTTCCCGTACAAACCTGGACAGGTTATTTAAGCTGGCTGTGCCTTAGTTTCCTTGTCTGCAAGATAGCGATACTACGGGGTCATTGGCAAAGTCATGACATACGCTTTTCTATGCAAAAATCCATCACGACTCTTTAGACAACTCGGTAATAAGCTAGTCCTCCCGAGGCTCACAGATTGAGCACTGGGCCTGGCACAGAGTGAACACACAAGGCGGGCTAGCTGCTGTTGTAATCATCATGACTTGCTGAGAGTCAGGGAGGGAGACATGACAGTCTTCACTGAACGGAAGGCAACATTCCTGGGAAAACTTTATTTTTTTATTTTTTTTTTTAAGAAAGAGGACCCCTTGAGGACTTAAGACAGACTTCAGCCCTCCTTTCGTCACTATAAAACGGACTCCATGTTTTCACACCACTCATGGTCTTCCAGGTTATAGATAAATTTTGTCCTATGTGTCTGGTGTGCGGGCACCGGGTCCCTCCCCAGATTGTCTAGGGTCAGAGTAGAGGCAAAGAACTCACTGGTGCTGAGCCCGCCCTCGTGGTTTTTGATGTAGCGTTTATAGTTTTTCCTCAGGCACTGCCACGTGGTGGTGTAGAGGAGGAAGGCGAAGGACTTGAGCGCGATGGCGATGCTGACGTACAGGTAGCGGTAGACCACGTTGTCGTAGAGGGCGCAGGCACCTTGCTCCCCGCAGAACGTGCTCCAGAACAGGCAGGTGGAGTCGATGCCGGCCCCAAAGATGAGGGGTGGGGGGATGAAGCCTGGGAGAGAGAGAGGAGGAGGTTAGGGCGCTGGCTCTGCGGCTGGTGGGATGTTGGGATCAGTCTGTGACTGTCTCTCACTGTTCTTTGTGCTGGAGGACTTGTGTGCCTGCAGAGAGGGAGGGGAAGGGACCGCCAGTGGGGAATCGTCACATAGTAATCCCGTCTCGCCCTCCTTTCAGGATCTTAGAGATGCACACACTAGCCCACCATGCCACTCAAGGTCCAGCTGATGTGGGATTCAGCCAGGTTACCCGCCACCTTGTAAGGTGTGCACACCATTATAGAGACACTTCAACAAGACTGCCCAGGAGCTGCACTGAGTGAGTTTGAATCGGCTCTTGCCCTTCCCGTACAAACCTGGACAGGTTATTTAAGCTGGCTGTGCCTTAGTTTCCTTGTCTGCAAGATAGCGATACTACGGGGTCATTGGCAAAGTCATGACATACGCTTTTCTATGCAAAAATCCATCACGACTCTTTAGACAACTCGGTAATAAGCTAGTCCTCCCGAGGCTCACAGATTGAGCACTGGGCCTGGCACAGAGTGAACACACAAGGCGGGCTAGCTGCTGTTGTAATCATCATGACTTGCTGAGAGTCAGGGAGGGAGACATGACAGTCTTCACTGAACGGAAGGCAACATTCCTGGTGTCCATCAAAGACGTGCAACCTCAGGGCCAGCAGGTGGCATAGAGGTTAAGGTGCTAAATCCCACATGGCCAGCTTTGTGGTTTGAGTCCTGGACTCTGCTGCTTGAGAATCAGGTCGGGCATATGTGCATGTGCCCAAAATCCTGGGAGGAGACTGGAAGAGAAGGGGTTGAGGTGTGGCCATCCCCCCTGGGCGGTGATTTCTCTCTTTGTCTCACTGTCTCCAGCAACACACACAGCCTATCGCTACCAAAACAAAAAACAAAAACAAAAACAAAAAAACTCACGAAAGGACTGGCCAGGGGTGGTGTGTGCTGCTGAGCGGACGATGCTGAAGTTAACTATGAGCTTACTATATCCGTTGGTAGTAATGAAGAAGTGTGTGGTATAAAGCATGTGGGTGTGAGTACAGATACTATGCACTATCTTCAGAAAGTTAGTGGAAAAACAACTATTTTGGTGCCCCAAACCATTTGAAATCCCTGTATAAACTCTTTGTAAGTCCATCTTTCCATGAACTTTTACGAGGTACCTTTCCAGGTAGGTACCCACGTAGTGTAAGATAGGCAGCTTTTCTTATCCTACATCTTACCATTGGAGGAGGTACTTCTTCTGAGCAGGGAAGCAGTTTTAAAACCTTCCCAGTACGGCACTTCAGGCATGGTTGAGGGCCAGCCCCACAGCCTACAGGTTACGGGAGTCAGATCCCACAAGGCCAGCAACAATTCCGGCCCTGACCGTTTGAAAAACCTGCTGGACTCGTATATGTGTGCGCCCCAAACCCCAAGAGGATTGAGAAATGGGAGAGGAAGGCATTGTGGACTGAACCCTCCCTCACCAAAGTGGCGGCAGAGGTGAAAACTGTTCCCCACCCTTCATTTAGTTCTGGGTGCAGCAGCTGCTGTTACTCCCTAACTCAGGGCTGCATGGGGCCCACCCTGACCAGTGCTCTCAGAACACGTGGTGTGCACGTGGTCAGCAGCACTGAGCCTAAAACATCCCTGCGTGGCTGCTGCCTGCTGAGGAAAAACATATACATATTTTTTCCTTTGTAGTTTGGGAAAGGAATGAAAGAGTCATTAATAAAAACTGTTCCAGAAGAAACAGTGTCCTCCCGAGGCCAGACACAGGGCTATGAGCCGGAGAAGGCACTCCCCCATGGTGGTCTCACAGCACAGCCCCATTTCTCCTTTCTGTGGAGATGTGGGGTACACACATACCAGGTGTGCTCTTCCAGCTGCCAGGGCTGGGATTCAAACTGCAGTCACCTCTCTTGGCTACTAAGCCCTGAGGCTGGTTCAGTTTCTTTCTTTTTTTAAATTAAGAAAGGACCCTCTGATGAGATGTAGACCCAAAGCCCTGAAAATTACACCTTCCTACATAATCGAACACACATGCAGTCCATCCAAGGTCACCAGAAGAAAAACACCTGCATTATAATACCAAGCTACCTCCAGACAGGTCCTCAGAGGGGAGGCCTTAATGACGGAAGCAGTACTTCCCCAGTTTTAATGACAGGCCCTAAACGGGGTGCTGGGGACCAGAATATCCGATCAGTGCTAATGAGGTTGGCAGAATGCCAGCATCCCTGGCTGCTGCCACAGGATCTTGTAGACCTCTCCAGCTCAGTTACCCCAAAGAGAAACCTCTGAGGACTGTAGCAGAAACCTCGTTAAACTTCCCAAGCAGTTTGCTTTCACAAATAAGCTCTATGCTCAAAATCCCACACAGCCTGCTCCCTTGTTGCGGCTACAGGTCTGGCACAGTCTCACCCCACTGGAGCTCGTGTGCCCTGTAACCACAGGGCCACCCAGGTTTAACACCTTCCTCACCAGCTCCTCAACAAATGCCTTTATTCCCTTCTCTGGAAAAAAGCCAACTGGAGGTCCTGCAATGGCACAGCGTATCAGAACTAAGCCCATTCCGTGTTACTGGGTGCAGGAGAATTGGAGACCTAGATCTGAAGCCAGTTTAAATCAGGAGTAGATCAGGGTAAACAGGCCTGGCATAGTAGAACTAGGTTTGCTTGTTTTTTTTTCTTTTTTTTTCCTTGTAGAGGTTTTTGCCTTAGGGCAGGTGCCACTTCTTGCTGGAAAGACAGCAGACAGAGGGAAAGTGAGAAATCACCCCCCCAAGGGGGATGGCCACACCATAATCCCTTCTCCTAGGCTCAGTTTTAAGCCACCAGGTTCAAGACTCGACTGTAGTCAGCCATGTGGGAGTCCAGCAATGTAACTGCTATGCCATCTGCTGGTTCCAGTTTCTAGGGTTTTATAAGTGTTAAGGGCAGGTACACTTACCAGAGAGGAAGCACCCCCTAGTGCAGTGTTGTTGTGTTGTAATCCCTTCTCCATCCTCTCACGATACTGTGCATGCATGCACACACATTTGGCATGTCTTTTCAAGCCACCAGGGCCAGAACTCCAACTATGGTTGGTCACATGGAATCTGGCTCCTTCAAGGACAAGGCTGGCCCTAATTCCAGGGTTTTAGGATGTGATGAGTTCCCAAATTCCCCTCCATCCCCTCTGGACCTTTCCTGAGGTTGCCTCATTTTGTCTTACCTACATGCCCCTGAGCTACAGGGAGCAAAGACTTTAGAGGACCCTCTGGTAAACCTTGGTCAGGGGAAGGAACTAAAAGTACAGGTGCCCCTTGCTCCACAAGGCAGGGGTTCCTGGGAGCAAATTCAAGTTTGGCAATACAAGTCACAGATTACGCACATTGGTAAAATTTGCAATACAAAGAAACCATTAATACTTGTTTAAACCACACTATCCCTCTAAAATGCCAATACGCCACTCCATGTTGAACTTTTTATAATACCTGGTGAGAACTTCTTATAATACCTGGTGCTCTTTAAAGCAGAAAAGGCCTCTATGTGCTCAAAATGTCAATGTATCGTTCCTGTGGAAGCTTCATTATCAGATGACAAACAAATTATAAAGCTAAGAGCCTATCAAAGTTTTCCACATTATTTTGGATAGCATTAAGGTAGAGATGAAAGAACCTTGAACTTAAGGAGCCAAAAGCCCTGAGGCAAGACATCTTATTCAGTATCTTACCTTCTTCATCTTTCAGTTAATCCCTTCTTCTTGATCAGGGTTAAAACAATACAGAAATGAGGTGTAAAAACAATCTGCAAAGATCTGGCCCTTCCATGTGGCCAGAGTTTTTTCTTTATAGATTTTTGCCATAGGGCATGTGTGCTTACCAGAGAGAGGGCAAGTAAGAAATCAAACTTGGGGAGGGAGGGGATGGCCATCCTGCAGTCTCTTCTTTTTGGGCATGTACACATGCCCAGCGTGTCTCAAGCTGCTGGGTCCAGGACTAGAACTATAGTCCGCCATATGGGAATCCCGCACCCTAACCTCAACCCCATCTTCTGGCTCCATGGCCAGAGCTTTTGCTACCTTACTCATGCTCTATATGGGGTTTGGGTTGATAGCTTAGAAAAAACTCAAGGTTGAGTGCCTTAAATACTTTTTTCATTAACACAGTTCTCTCCCAAAGGGAAGCTTGAGCTATCAGACCCTCAATTCCAGATGTGCACAGAAATCTGGAGACAAAGAACTGACTTTTATCAAAGGCCTTTATCATTCTGCAACTCACCTTCAAGTCACAAAAGGGAGTGCCATGCTGAGGAAGGATTCTCATACCCCTCCACTCATCCTTACAGGTAAAGCCTGTACAGTCCCTACAAAAAGCCGTTCCCCGCAGATGAAGGCAGGACTTCTACAGTGTGACAACCATAATGCTAAGTAAGAATAGGGTGCTTCATGTCAGTTACGAATCTCCTCCATAGTCCAATAATGGTGGGGATTTCCTAAGCAAATAAATAACCCAAAGGCAAATGAAAAGGGTCCAAAGTAAACTTTACAAATGCACCAAAGAAAACGTTCTGGCACCACCATGACTAAAAACACCCTAAATTCCTGAGATGCAGCCATCTAATCCCAAGCCTATGGAATTTTCATTACCTTGCCCTATAACCTTGGCTGTAAGAAGAGACCCTCCCTGCTATGAAGTGTGACCCTACTTCCTGGGCCCTAATAAATATATCTTCTGCTTACACTCTTGCCTCTGGTAAATTTTTTTTTTACTACTTGTGCCTCAGCCCCACCGCACTTCAGTAAGCACTCTCCTGTGGTCAGACTGCGTCTGCTGCCTCCCTCCTGTCCCCTTGCACCATGTCAGCCAGTTTCCCTGGATGGAGAATCCAGTAGGGTTTGGGGGACAGTCTGTCCACACTGAGTAGATGAAGAACCAGTCAGGTTCCTTCTGATGGAGGAGCAAGAGGAAGTAGGGGATTGCCCTGCACGATTGGTCCTCCTCTCTCCTGGACATT